GATACTCCCAGTGATCAGACCACTGGCTATTTCCCTGGACAGAGAAGTGGCCTCCAGACTCTCAGCATAACTAGAAATGCCCATCTCCTTATAACAGGGTGGGGTGGGGGTGAGGAGAAGATTCTGTCTGTCTATCATCTATCTTTATCTCCCTTCATTTAATTTATTGGGGTGACTGGTTAATAAAATTATATAGGTTTAGGGGTACAGTTCTATAACACATCATCTGCACATTGTATATAGCGTGTTCACCACCCCAAGTCAAGTCTCCTCCCATCACCATGTATCCCCCTTTTCCCTCTCCTACTGCCCCCCTCCTTCCCCTCTGTTTCCCATGCGGTTTGTAAAGACTCAGAGAAGGCAGAGTGGGTTCGCTGGGGCAGTAACTGCTGCAGACCCCGGACTGAGCCCCCCACCTCAGGGGGTTATCTGACGTGTGGGACCTTCTCTGAGGTGAGTGAGGAAGGCAGGGTCAGGAAAGGCCTCAGACTAAGGGGGCAAAGACAAGTCTCTGTCTGGAACACAAAGCACTGGAGCTTCTCCACCCTTTCAGGGCGATGGGCAGGAAGGAGCCCCTAGGGGTGACCTTGGGTGGAGTCTGGGTCTCCAGGGCCCGGTCCAGAGTCTCAGCTGAGGGAGTGAGCCCTGGGCCCCAGCCCTGGGGGGTGAGGCCTGAAGAGAGGGTGTCCAGCCTCAGCTGGGAGGGGCAGGAAGGGATTGGCTCCAGTCCCTGGCATATGCCCTGTTCACGGGGCTAACTCCTCGGGCCTCGGGGTTCAGACAGGCAGACAAGTTGTCTATATGGAGCCTCCACCATCCCTCAGGCCAGGTGTTCCCTGACCCAGCTAGTGGGAGGTTTTAGCACATGCCCATGAATTCCTAGCATTCCTGCCATCAGGAGGTGGAGTCTGTGTCTCCCCACCTTGTACCTGGGTGGGCCTCTGGGGACAGAATGTCTGAAAAGAATGGGCTGTGATGGCGGAGGCCGATTAGAAAAGGCCAATCGTTCCTCCCAGCTTCTCCTGGGCCTCCTCTGGGAGCTGTCAGCCGCCGGTAGGAGGCCATCTCCCCTGAGGCCGCCACGTGCAGAGACCACATGGAGCGGGAGGCCTGAAGGCCCACCTCCGGGGCGCGCCTGAGTCTTCCCAGCCGGGATGGCAGGCGCGGTGAGGAAGCCCTTGAGATGAGCACAGCCCCAGCCACCGAATGCCTGTATGACAGCCCCAGAGAGAGCGCTGCCCGGACTCCAGGCTCTCTAGATTCAGGAGCAAAAGAAATGATTAGGTGTGAGTGTCCCAGGGTGGCCTAGGTAACCAAGGACCACAAACTGGGCAAAACAGCAAACCTGCTCTCTCGCAGTTCTGGAGGCTGCAGTGTCATCAAGGTGCTGGCTTGTTCTGAGGCTCTGAGAGAGAAGCTGGCCTGGCCGGTGCGCCCGCCTAGCTTCTCGCAGCAATGCCTGGTGTGCCTTGGCTGCAGGCGCATCATTCTAACCCCTGACTCCATCTTTGCATCGTGTGCTCCCTGGGTCTCTGTGTTCACATTTCCTCCTCCTCCTCCTCCTCTTCCTCCTTCTCCTTCCCCTTCCCCTTCCCTTTCCTCTTTCCCTTTCTCTTCTTCCCCTTCCCCTTCTCCTTCTTCCCCTTCCTCCTCCTCCTCCTCCCACTCCTCCTCCTCCCTCTCCACCTCCCCCTCCCCCTCCCCCCTTCCCCTTTCCCTTCCCCTTCTCCTCTTCCTTCCCCTTCCCCTTCTCCTTTTTCTCCTCCTCCTCCTCCTCCTCCTCCTCCTCCTCCTCCTCCTCCTCCTCCTCCTCTTCCTCCTCCTCCTTCTTTAATTTCTTTATTGATTAAGGTATTACATATGTGTCTTCTGATAAGGACACCAGTCATGTTTGATTATGGGCCCACCCTACCCCAGTATGACCTCATCTTAATTAATTACATCTGCAATGGCCCTAGTTCTCTAATAAGGTCACCTTCTGCCGTACTGAGGGTGAGGACTTCACCATCTCATTTTGGGGAACGTAATTTAACCCGAAACATATAGTTATCATTCTAGCCGCTGTTTCAGAGTGACTTGTTATGCAGCAATAGCTACTCAGAACCCTGGAATCAAGGGATGGCTAGGGGAGCAGCTAAGACATGAGTGGAAATGTAAGGAGATAGGACATTTTCCATGACATCCCTCCAGGAGGCTTCTGTCTGTGGTTGGAATAATTGGTTTCCTAAGAAGGTTGGGTCTGGGGTGGGGGCCAGGTCCTTCCCTGAAAAGATGTTGCAATTATATCCTGTGCTCAAGTAACGAAGAGCTTCCCTAATGGTTCTGATGCAGGAAAAGAGCATGAGTTTTTGCTTTGTAAGGTATTTCTCTCTTTAAATGAATGTTGGATATTTACCTAAAGAAAGAATCAACTTAATTATTAGAGTGGTTTTGGTCTCCACATAGCTCAGCATGGACGTGCTGACCAACGCTTACCCCTTCAGAGCGTATTGACTAACTGTGGGGTTCCTGGCTTCTCCAGAGACCATGAGTAACCCTGAGGGCAGGGACTCTGTTTTGTCCTCACCCAAGTCCCCAGCACAGTTATTGGCATATGATAGGTGGTTAGTAGTTATTTTCTGAAAACATGGACGTTGGAAAAGGGATTTGAAATCTATATGACTAAAGGTTTTAAATTAATCAGCTGAAAAAAATCCTATATAACATAAGGCTAATATGCAAATCGACCAAACAGCAGAACGACCGGTTGCTATGACACACACTGACCACCAGGGGGAAGATGCTCAATGCAGTGTGCTCCCATTAGGGGGAGTGCCACTCAGCCAGAAGCTGGGTTCATGGCTAACTAACACAGCAGCAGTGGTGGGAGCCTCTCCTGCCTCTGTGGCAGCACTAAGGATGACCAACTGATGGCTTATGCCTGCTCCCGTAGGGAATGGGCCTAAGCAATCAGTCAGACATCCCCTAAGGGCTCTCTGGACTATGAGAGAGCAGTCCGAGCTGAGGGACACCCCCTCCCCCGCCATCCGAGTGCATGAATTTCATGCACTGGGCCTCTAGTTATATAATAATGCTAGAAAAATATATTTTTTTAAAAATATATTTTATTGATTTTTTACAGAGAGGAAGAGAGAGGGAGAGAGAGTTAGAAACATCAATGAGAGAGAGTCATTGATCAGCTGCCTCTTGCATGCCCCCTACTGGGGATGTGCCCACAACCAATGTACATGCCTTGGACGGAAATCGAACCTGGGACCTTTTAGTCCGCAGGCCGACGCTCTATCCACTGAGCCAAACCGGTTTTGGCTAGAAAAATGTTTTTTAAGTTCTCTGCAGTTACTGGAAGAGCCTATGAGAACACAAGTGAACTACAGAGGCCAGGAACAAATGGGAAAATCTAGTCCAGGGAAGTAAATGGATCACTGAAGCTACTGCACAACTAAGGACCCCCACGTCATTGGGCAGCCTACAGCTTCCACAGTGTGAGCGTCTGTGGCGCAAGAAAGAAGCAAGGCACTGACCAGGCAGATTTGAAAAAGAATCAAACAGAGGATCTAGAAATGTAAATATATCACCTATGAAAGGAGAAATTCAGTGCAACAGTTAAATAGAGCAGAAACAGCTGGAGAGGGAATTTATAAACTGGAAGATATATTTGAAAGAATTACACAAAATCCAGCGCAGAAAGAAAATGAAAAAGAGGTATAGAAATGGAATGAAAAGTCCTAATCAGATTTTTGGAAAGTGATTATGGGAATAATGGGAGACAAGTAGCTGAGAATATCCCATGATTATTAAAAAACATGAATCTTCAAGTTCGAGAATTCCTTCATGGAGATGTAAAGTACAGTATATGGAATATAGTAAATAATACTGTAATAACTGTATGGTGCCAGGTGGGTACTAGACTTCTCTGGGGGTGGGGTGGAGGGAGAGGATCACCTTGTAAGTTACATAAATGTCTAACCACTAATATAATATTGAATGCTAACTGTAATTAAAAATATTAAAAAAGAATTCCAATGAATCCCAAACAAGATAAATAAAAAGTCTATACATAGATTAATTATATTTAAACTGAAGAATACCAAAGACAAGAAGATTTTAAAAGTAACAGAAAGAAAAATTATTGTTTTTTTGCAATTCTATAATTATAAGAAATTGATGACTACAATAGGAACAATAAAAGACAGAATAATAATGATTTTAAAGGGTTTTTGAAAAGTCATACCAACTAAGGATTATATCCCAGTTCCTAATAAGACTGAAATAATTTATTAAAAGATAAATATCTATTAACTTATGAATGAATAAAAATGTGGTATATCCATACAATAGAGTATTACTTGCCATAAAAAGGGACGAAATATTGACATATGCTACACCATGGTTAAACATTGAAAACATTATGCTGAGCAAAAGAAGCCAGGCAAAAGGCCACAAATTATATGATTTCATTTATATGAAACTAGAGGCCTGGTACATGAAATTTGTGCACTGGGGGCGGGTGTATCTTTCAGCCCGGCTTGCACTCTCTCACAGGGAGCCCTTGGGGGATGTCCATCCATTGGACATCTTTAGGTCTGCCAAGGTCGCCAGCCATGAGCCCGGCCTCTGCTCGCCAGCCTCTGCTCGCCAGCCATGAGCCCAGCTTCTGGCTGAGTGGTGCTCCCCCTGTGGGAGTGCACTGACCACCAGGGGGCAGCTCCTGCGTTGAATGGGATCGGTCGAAACTGGCTCTCTGACATCCCCCAAGGGGTCCCATATTGTGAGAGAGTGCAGGCCAGGCATTGGGACCCCACTAGTGCACAATTAAGGCTAAGGAGGGACCTGGTAGATTGGCCAGCCGGGGAGGGACTGTGGGATGGCTCCAGGGCATGTCTGGCCTGTCTTGCTCAACTCCCAATTGGCTGGACCCCAGCAGCAAGCTAACCTACCAGTCAGAGTGTCTGCCCTTGGTGGTCAGTGCACATCATAGTGAGTGGTTGAGCGGCCTTAGCATATAATTAGCATATTATGCTTTGATTGGTTGAACGGATAACTGGATGGCCAGACAGTTAGCATATTAGGATATTTATTATATAGGATGTCCAGAATAGGGAAGTCCATAGAGACAGAAGGTAGATTCATGGCTGCCAGAGGCAGGGGTGAGGGAGGGGGAATGTGGAGCGACAGCTAATGGGCATGCAGTTTCTTTTTGGCGTGATGAGATGTTCTGGAATTGGATAGCGGTGGTGTTAGTAAAATGTTATGAGTATGCTAAAACCACTGCATTGCACACTTTCAAAGGATGAATTTTATGGCATGTGAATTATATTTCAACAAAAATGCAAAAGAATAAGTAAGGGTAAAAATAAAATATTTTTATTTATGGTAAAATTGAGAGAATTTTATAAACAACTGACCCCTCATTGAAGGAATTTCTGAAGATTGAACTTGAGAAGAAAAATGACCTCAGAAAGAAAGTCTGAGACCCAAGAAGGGTAAATATATTTATTTACTAACATATATCTTTATTGATTTCAGAGAGGAAGAACGTGTAAGAGATAGAAACGTCAATGATGAGAGATAACCATCGATCGGTGTGCAGGTTGATGCTCATCCATTGAGCCACGCCAGCCTGGCATGGTAGGTAAATTTAAACAAACACACTGTCTAAAACAATGTCTACCCCATGGGGGTTAAATAAGAAATGGAGCTAAAAGGCTGGTCTTTAACTAAGTGGAATTAAAGCTTTCAAAGTACTTTGCATTGTTCAGGAGATATTGATTAACTTTAGACTATGTTAAGTTAGGTAATCATTTCAAAATGCTGAATCACCAAAAAAAGAATAAGAAATAGAATGCCTATCTTCCACACTAATAGATGGAGTAAAAAAATGCAATGAGTAAAATACCTCAATCAATTCAAAACAATGCAACCAAGAGGACAAAAAAGAAACTCTTAGGAAGCAGAACAAATTTAAACACAAAATAAGATCATAGAGATAAAGCCAAATATATGTTTAATCTCTATAAATATAAAGAAACTGAACTCTCCAGTTAACAAATTGGATTAAAAAAAAAGAATGGCTAAATGCCACTTACATGAAGCACATCTAAAACATGAAGACAGAAAAAAAGTAAAACAGTGAAAGAATACAAGAAAAATAGTAACCAAAAGAAAATTGGCACAAATATATTAATAGCAGACAAAACAGACTTTAAGAAAAATAGGTCAATATATAAAATTTAAATTCCTCAGGAGAAAATAGTTCTGAATTCATGGAGACTTAGTAATATAAGTCCCTTATCACATACATGATTTGCAAATACTTTCTCCCATTCTGTAGGTCATCTTCTTACTTTATTGATAGTGTCCTTAGAGGACAAAAGTTTTCAATTTGATGATGTCCATTTTATCTATTTTTTCTTTTATTAATCATGCCTTTGGAGTCATATCTAAGAATACTTTGCCAAATTCAAGATTATGAAGGTTTACCCCTACGTTTTCCTCTGAGAGTTTTATAGTTTTAGCTCTTATATTTAGGTCTTTGATCCACTTTGAGTTAATTTTTGTGTGTATGGTGTGAGGTAAGGGTTCAATGTTATTTTTGGCATGTAGATAACCAGTTGTCCTGGTGTCACTTGTTGAAAAGACTATTCTTTCTCCATTGTATGATCTTGACACCCTTATTTCAAATCAGTTGGCCATAGATATATGGGTACTTCTGGACTCTTAATTCTAATGCATTGGTCTATATATCTATTTTTGTGTGTGCTAGTACCACACTTTTTTGATTACTGTTGCTTTGTAGCACGGTTTTTAATTATTATTGATTTTTAGAGATTGTTTTGGGTATTCCTGGTCCCTTGTCAATTTCTACGAAGAACTCAGCTGGCATTCTGACAGGGATTGAATTGAATCTTATGTCACTTTTCTGGGTTAGAACAGCTCCAATCAGCCTGTCCATTCAGGGTAGAACCAAAAGCAGGTCCGGTGTGGCCTCCTGTGTGTGTGTCCTCAAGAGGCCACCTCAGCGTGGGTATCCCTGGGACTAACGGAGGGTGGTAAGAATGTCAGTGGCTAACATAGAAACCCAAGTCTTTGAGATCCTTCCGAGGTTGTCGCCATGACTGTCGTCATAGACAATCTTCGGTTGGGTCCCCCAAGAAGCAGACCTTGAGATAAGGATTTGAGTAAAAGTAGTTCTGTTGGGGGTGGACCTGGGAGGAGAGTGGGGAAATGGTCCAGGTTAGGGGGAGACACCAGGAGAGTGAGCCTACATGAGCAGGTTATAGCTGTGGGCATCTAGAGCTCAGTCCCATTGGGGATCTCTAGGAGAGGGGATAGACCTTGGCACCACTGAGATTTTCTATTAGATGATTATTGGTTGGGGGGTGTCTGTCCTGAGCATTGTAGGATGTTTAGCACCACCCTAGCCTCTACCCACCAGATGCCAGTAGCAACCATCCAACCAAAATGCCTGGACATTGCCAAGTGTCTCATGAAGGGCAAGATTGTCCCTGGTTGAGAACAGCTGGGTAGAATGGGGCTCAGAATTGTCCCATCCAAGAGGGGAAGGAGCTGGGGTATTTACACACCAACTCCCACTCATCAGTACTTTCAGGGTGCTCAGGGGATATCAGTCCCTGGCAGCCCTGCCTGTGCTGAGGGTCTGCTGTGATTCCAGGCCACAGAAAGCTCCAGGCAGTGTTGCAGGTGCTCATAGTAAGAAGCCACCAGTGTGCGTGGAAATAACAAGCGGGTGTGGACACACACAGTGCAGCTCCGTGGGTCACGCTGTGTGCGGTTTTGGGGACCCTAATTCCTCCCAGATCTGTGGCTCAGCTCGGAGTCTGTGTTCCTGGGGCTTTGCAGCTTCCGGTGTGTGTACAGTGTAGAAACTAACCCACTCTGGGGCATGCCCCTCGGCTTGATTCCCGGTTCTCAGCTCCGTCACAGGTCTGGCTCAGCTCCTAAAGGATGAGGAAAGATGGCCTGCAAAGAATTTAGATTGAACAGCCCTATCAGGGGTCTTCAAACTATGGCCCGCGGGCCACATGCGGCCCGCAGAGGAGTCTGATCCGGCCCGCCAGGTTTTTTGGGCAGTGAGCGCAGCCGAGGTGTTACAGTAGGAATTAGTAGTTCATATAGTCCGGCCCTCCAGCTCTCTGAGGGACCGTGATCTGGCCCCCACTTTAAAAAGTTTGAGGACCCCTGCGCCTAAGTGATCTTGATTTCAGAGGCAGAAGGCATGGGCTGGGGGACTTGGGGTGGGGGGAAGGTAGGCTGACAAAATGCACCTCCTTTCTCCATCTGAGCTCCACAAAATGAGTCTCAGCTCATTGCAGGGTCTACTGAATGTGAGGATCTGCAGCATCTAAGGGTGCTCTCCTTTTTAATTTTTTAAAATATGTTTAAAAATATATTTTATTGAGTTTTTACAGAGAGGAAGAGAGAGACGGATAGAGAGAAACATCGATGAGAGAGACACATTGATCAGCTGCCTCCTGCACACTCTCCACTGGGGATGTGCCCGCAACCAAGGTACATGCCCTTGACTGGAATCGAACCCAGGATCCTTCAGTCCGCAGGCTGATGCTCTATCCACTGAGCCAAACTGGTTTTGGCTAAAACATGTTTTTATTTATTTTGGAGAGAAGGAGGGAGGGAGGGAGGGGAGGGAGGGAGAGAGAGAGAGAGAGAGAGAGAGAGAGAGAGAGAGAGAGAGAGAGCCACATGAATGATTGGCCACCTCCTGCATGTCCCCTTTATTGGGGACTGAGTCAGAAACCTAACTGGGAATAAAACCGGTGACCTTTCTGTGCATGGAGGATGCTCAACCCACGGAGCCACACCAGCCAGGGCGGGTGCCGTCCTTTCTGAGTATGCTGTGTGGCTGTGGGCAAGCATGCCTCTTCTCTGGGCCTCCATCTCCCTTCTGTGAAAAACAGAGGGAGGACCAGGTGACCTTGAAATGTCCTTCCATCCTGAGCGACTGCTGAGAGCTCAGAGAGGCCGTGAGGAGTCGCCAGGCAGCCGGGCCTGGGGGTAGACGGAAAATGTGACTTCGTGACAGCTCGGCCCCCAGCGGCGCTGCTGGCCTCTGATCTCCGAGCGTGTCCACGGCGGGCCTGACACCGGCCGGCCCGGCCCCGCGCGGCCCCTCGCTCACTCAGGAACATCTGCTGCAGCGTTTACCCCGCTAATAGATTAGCTCTGAGAGCCGGGCAGGTGCTTTCCACCCAAGCCAGAAAACATCAAAATCAGATTGCTCTCCAAGCCTTTCCGCACAGGCAATCGAGTTAGAATGACTCATACGGCCTAACAGATAATAAAACACACATAACATTTGCTTTAAGGTACAGGCGGGGGTATTTTGTCCTGCGCTGAGGAGAAACAAAAACTCGCTCTATTTGGGAATAGGGTAATTGAATACAGATGGGAGGAGGTAAATGAAAGAATTTAGCAAATATCTCAGTGGAATAGCTAATGGGAATGAGACAGAATAGGAAATTAAAAATTATTCGAAGCAGATGGACCATTCTTTGAGTTTTTAAAAATTTATTAGGGCCGCAAAAAAAAAAAATGTGTCTGTTTATTTTCTATGGCCATGAAATTAATGACTTGGTGAGTTTTGCTTGTGCAATTTTATGACTGCCATGTCATCTGTCATAATTTGGGGGCTGTTTGATATGGATTTATGAATGCCCCCTCCTCCCTAACCCCTCCCTGATTTATTGGTGCGGGTCACATGTGCATTAGGCTGTCTCCCATCGAGGCTGCAACACCAATGGCAGCCTAACGCTGCGGGCCCTGGGCGGGGCGGGGCGGGGGCCTCGGGGATTCTGGGCCCAGAGGTGAGTGGACAAGCTGTGGAGGGTCACTCCAGGGCTGTGGGAAAGAGCAGGCTTGACCTGGCTGAACTTCCTCTGTGAGGATGACCCCGGCCAGCACGGGGGAGGAGGAGGTATTGGGGAAGGTTCTGGAAACCTGCGGGAGGCAGGAAGCCAGGCCTGGCTGCTTGTGCTTGGCTGGGAGTGGGGTGAGGGCTGTGGCTGCAGCCTCAGCCCAGCCTAAGGGGCCCCTGGCTCCCGGTCCCTGCAGCCCCCACCTGGAGCCCAGGGGAGCAGAAAAATATTCACTTTTTCGGGAATCTGCTAGTGCCTGGCTGGGGGCTGGAAACTTAGATGCATTCTCTATCAGTCGTCTTCAAACTACGGCCCGCGGGCCACATGCAGCCGGCAGAGGAGTCTGATCCGGCCCGCCAGGTTTTTTGGGCAATTGAGCGCAGCCGAGGTGTTACAGTAGGAATTAGGAGTTCATATAGTCCGGCCCTCCAGCTCTCTGAGGGACCGTGATCTGGCCCCCACTTTAAAAAGTTTGAGGACCCCTGCTAGATGGTGGTTAAAATGGGCCTTTATAGCCACAGACCTGAGTCTGAGTTTTGCTCTGGTTCTAACCAGCTGTGTGGCTTTGGGCTTTGGTCTGGTCACTGCCCCCTCTGCACCTCAGTTTTTTCCTCTGTAAAGTAGGAATAGAAATACCTAATGTTAGAGAAGTTCTGAGGGTCCAAAGAGATCCCCTCGCACATGGCAAAGTGCTAGCTAGTAAAGGGTAACATTATAATTCTTAAGTAGAGGCCC